ACCTGATGGCCCCGATGGAGAGTGAAGTCATCATGCGCACCCACATTCGGAAGCACCTTCTGATGAATGCTGCCGCAGGTGCTCTCCTACTGGGCATTTCTACAACTACCACATTTCAGGCACTGAACCAGACCCCTGAATATGTGGCCAAAAAAATCTTCAGTTCCTGCCTTCTAGAGGCCCCCTGGTCTCATGGAAACAGGTGGAGGCATAAATCAGATATTCTGACAGATAGAGTATTTGCCATCAGACTGACGAAAAGTCAAGACTGAATACTGTGTGTATGTGATATAGGGCACATATTACCATATTCTACTAAAAAGATCGCCAACTTGCAAGATCTTTTTGGAGGGAGATTAGAGTGTATTAAAATTTAAAATATGCTCACTTTTCCCTTCAACTCCCATTCAGATATCCCTCCTAAAGAAATCCTGATGGTGCTCGCTTTGGCAGCACATACACTAAAACTGGAACAATAACAGAGAAGATTCGTGTGGAGCCATTGCCCTGACGGCACGTGGTACTGTGGATTCCACAAGTGTGTACGGTGGGAAAGCGCCACACTCGGTACCACCACCCCGTGCACTGGTCAGCTGGACAAACTCAGACAGGTATCTACCCTGGATAGCCTTTGAGTTTTAGAAGACCAAAATGAACATTTTTGGAGCCTAAGTTTTGGCTCATTTGTTGGATCGGTGCATGTAAGAATTTGGTGAGATGCAAATGAACAAATAGCTCTTGCTCCTGTGACCAACAGGCTGTATGCTACAGTTCTATTCTGACTGTTCAGATTTTTAAGGATGATTGGATTAGGCTTCCCTGCTGTCTGGGTCTGTCTCCTAAACTTTTCAGATCATCGTGGAATTCCAATGACTCTTTTAAAGGGTGCTGATGATTTGAACACTGTCGGATTGATTCCAGCTAAATCTAGTAGTCCACCTTGAGAATTTTCATGCAACACCCTGGAAAAAAATGTGAGCCCAAATCTTCTCTACCAAAGGAAAAAAAAAAAAAGCTTAAACTTTTAAAAAGTAAAATTAAATTGTAAAGAACTTGAAATGCAAAACAGGTGGCCATTGTGAGGGTAGAACTGACCTTTTAGAAATAAATCAGATCTCCAAGCTAAGACTAACTACAGCCTTGGGTATTAAAATAATTTGCAGATCTTGTCACACAAACACACTTCTAATTTCTGAGAAAATATACAGAAAAGTTATAAACAGAGATGGACAGATTTTGTCCCTATTTTTACAAAACATATGAAAATCTGGTTTCTATTTACTTATAGTAAACAATTGGAAAATAAAATCAAACAGGCTCTTTATTAGTACATAAGTGCTACATTAATGCCTTCTGATTGGCTGTACACTGTTGGTGAAAATGTAAATTGGCACAGACATTAAGGAAAACAGTTTGGAGGTTCCTCAGAAAACTTAAAATATGATTCATCAATCACCATATGATTCATCAATTCCCATGCTGGGTATATGGTATGAGGATCTCAAAGAGGTATCTGTGGTCCCATGTTCATTGCAGCATCATTCACAATAGCTTAGACATGGAAACAATGTGAGTGTGCATAAACAGATAAATGGATTAAAAAATTATGGTATATAGATATATATGGGAATACTATTCAGCCTGTACAAAAAAGAAAATCCTGGCATTTACGACAACATGAATGGAACTGGAAGACATTATGCTAAGTGAATAAATCAGACAAAGAAAAGAAAAACAATGGCATGGTCTCGCTTACATGTGCAATCTAAAATAGTTAAACTCACAGAAACAAAGAATACAACCGTGGTTAAAAAGGGTGGGTAGAGGAGGGTGAGGACTGGGGAGATGTTGGTCAAAAGGTAGAAAATTTCAATCCGTAGGATGAATAAGTTCTAGAGATCTAACGTACAGCATAGAGATCTAATGTACAGCATAGTTAACAAAATTGCACAGTATACTGGAAATTTGCTAGGAGGGTAGATCTTAGGTGTTCTCATCCTCCTACACTCCCTCCCCCACAGCCTCCCTCCCCACACCCCAACCCCACCCACTGCCACAAATGGTAACTATGTGAAAAGATAGCTATATTAATTAGCTTGGTTGTAATAATCAGTTCACTATGTATTTCAAAACATGACACTGTATACCTTAAGTACATATAATTCCAATTTTAAAATTTAAAAAAATTTAACAAATGACTTGTAAGACCTCTACATCAAAAACTACAAAAATTGCTGAGAGAAATTAAAGAAGACGTAAATAAATGAAGAGATATAATGTATTCATTGATTGGAAGGCTCAATATTGTCAAGACATCATTTTCTTCTAAACTTATCTATAAAAACAATACAATTGCAGACAAAATCACAGCACGAATTTTTGTGTAAACATTGTCAAGTGGATTCTAGGATTTTTATAGAAATAGGCAAAAAACCTGAAGTGACACTTCACCAAAAAAGAGACGTGACTGATTGATAAGCACATGAAAAGACACTAAAATCGGCCGGGCGCGGTGGCTCAAGCCTGTAATCCCAGCACTTTGGGAGGCCGAGACGGGCGGATCACGAGGTCAGGAGATTAAGACCATCCTGGCTAACACAGTGAAAACCCGTCTCTACTAAAAAATACAAAAAAATAGCCGGGCGAGGTGGCGGGCGCCTGTAGTCCCAGCTACTCGGGAGGCTGAGACAGGAGAATGGCGCAAACCCGGGAGGCGGAGCTTGCAGTGAGCCGAGATCCGGCCACTGCACTCCAGCCTGAGCCACAGAGTGAGACTCCGTCTCAAAAAAAAAAAAAAAAAAAAAGAAAAAAGAAAAGTGATTCAGAGTTAATAGCTAGGGGCTGGCATTCACATACTGATCCATTCTAGCCATAAATATTTACTGAGTACTACTAGGAGGCAGGCACCGCTTCAGCCACTGGCAGTGCAGAGGTGAATGGGAGAAAGCCCTCGTCCTTACTGAGCATACGTTCTCTAAGAAGCTAGATGGCCAGGCGCGGTGGCTCACGCCTGTAATCCCAGCACTTTGGGAGGCCGAGGTGGGCGGATCACGAGGTCAGGAGATCGAGACCACGGTGAAACCCAGTCTGTATTAAAAAAACAAAAAAAATTAGCCGGGCGCAGTGCTGTGCGCCTGTAGTCCCAGCTACTCAGGAGGCTAAGGCAGGAAAATGGTGTGAACCCAGGAGGCGGAGCTTGCAGTGACCCCAGATCGCGCCACTGCACTCCAGCCTGGGTGACAGAGCAAGACTCCATCTCAAAAAAAAAAAGGAAAAAAAAAAAAGAAGAAGAAGCAGCAGCTAGACAAGGAGCCCAACAAATAAACTGGATAATTATAGACGGTGACAAGTGCAACAGAGGAGTACACAGCAATATGGGATTGAGGGGACCTAAAATAGTTAGGAGTGATCAGGGATGGCCTCTCTGAAGAAGCGATGTTTGAGTTGGGTCATGGGATAAAGGGCAGATGGAAGAACACCGCAAGCAGATAGAGGAGACAGTGCAAAGGTCCTGAGGCAGGAAGGAACAGGATGTGCCTAGAGAAGTGAAAGGCAATCAATGTGACTCGTATCTAATAAGCAGGGTGGAAAGCATGGGATGGGGCTGGGTTGGATGCATAGGAAGGAGCTGGGACACGCAGCCCCTAGGGAAAGGGCAGGAAGGACTGGGTGACAGTCTAAGACAGCGGGGAGCTACTGCAGGATTTTCAGCAGGCAGGTGATGTCATCTGCCACTGAGGAGGGTAGATGGGAGTAGGGACAAGGCTGGGAGCAAAAAGGCCCAGTTAGGAAGCTACTGCAGAGGCGATGGCAAGAGCTGGCAATGACATGGACCCGGGTGCTGGCAGCAGGATAGAGAAAAGACAGATTTCAGAAGTATTGTAGGAGCAGAACGGACAGAACTGCTGATGCCAACATGAAAAATAAGAAAAAGGAAGAGTGGGAAAATGGTGATATCATTCACTAAGATGGGGAATTCTGGAGTGGAACAAGTCTGGAGTTAAAAGTTTCATTCTGAGATGCGTACGTACCCAGCAAGTGGCAATGCCAAGGAGGCAGTTGGATACACGAGTCTGCAACTCAGGAGAGGGGTCTGGGCTGGAGATGTAAAGTTCAAGGTCATTTCTTATAGACAGTGTTAAAGCCAGGGGCCCAGAGAAACTCTCCCAAGAGGGAGCATCTCAGAGTAAAAGAAGGGGGCCCAGGATTGAGCCCTGCCATTTAAAACTCCAGTGGATGACAAAGGAGGAGCAATGAATTGGTGTCATTCAATGAAACAGAAGCCAGGACAGTGTTTCCAAAAGTCCATGCTGTGCCCTGAAGGCCTAGAACAGCCTCAGGCATACAGCAGTCCCTGGAGAAAGGAAGGAGGGAGGGCGTGTGGTAACTGCCTGATGCTGCTGAAAGATATTGCGTAATGAGAGGAGCCACGGAAGAGCCCACCGACTTCAGTGCATGGGAAATGTCAGTGGTACTAACGAGCATCATTAGTGATGTGCGGGACTAAAACCGGGCCACTTTCATTTGGATGGAAATCACGACGACCGTGGAATGTCCTTTCAGCCACAATCCCACAAGGGCTCACACTTTCTGCAATAGCTCCCGGTGACCAATCCACGCTCTCGGTGTCAAGCCCACTGAAGTCTTCACATCAGTGGTTCCATAAACGCAAGACCTGACAGGCCAGCAAGGCCACAGCTGCAACGGGACATGTGAGCAGGGCTCCTGCTGCCTGGGCTCGGGGATTCTGGCCACTTCAACAGCTTAACCCTATGTATCCTCAGAGGCCCTCACCTATTTCCCCACCTCGGCCTGTGAATTCTCACACCTGTGATTCCCACCTACCTTCCCATCTACCTGGTCCCATAACCTTGCTGCTGCACCTGCACTTTCATCTGTCTCCACTGCCTGCTAGTGGTACACAGCAAGGGTCACCAAACTTTTGATCCCTTCCACTATTAGAGAATAAATCAATATATAAACCCACGGCTCAGACTTACCTGGAACAGTTAGCACGGAGGGGGATTTTTCAGGCTGTTTGTTAACACGGCTACTGTTTTGAACCCAGAAAATGTTGACAGGCTCAGGCGGGCCCACAGCCTGACAGGTGAGGTTGAAGGCTGTGTTTCTGGTGACATTCATGCTCTCAGGCTGCTTAGTAAAGTGAGGAAGTCCTGCAGAGAAAACGTTACATGAAAGAATGTTTCAGATCTGAAAGCAGAGACAGAGCCCAAAGGGGAATGGAAACTGGGCTAGAACTTGACAATAGATTTCTCCTTTTTTGGGGGGGAATGGAGTCTCACTCTGTTGCCCAGGCTGGAGTGCAGTGGCTTGATGTCGGCTCACTGCAACCTCTGTCTCCTCGGTTCAAGTGATTCTCCTGCCTCAGCCTCTTGAGTAGCTGGGATTACAGGCGCACACCACCATGTCTGGCTAATTTTTGTATTTTTAGTAGAGATGGGGTTTCACCGTGTTGGCCAGGCTGGCCTCGAACTCCCGACCTCAAGTGATCCATCCCCCTTGGCCTCCCAAAGTGCTGAGATTACAGACATGAGACACCACACCCAGCCTTGGCAACAGATTTCTTTATCTACTGCGCCACCACCGCGCCTAGCTTAGCAACAGATTTCTTTATCTACTTCGTCAGTCAGGTCTGTATTCATCAGTTTTCACCTCCTTAAGTTGGATAAGAAGGAGCACAGAGGATAATTCCTGCCAGTCTACCTTAAGCCAGCTTTCTAGGACGCTTTGCCAAAGGGGCTATAAATAGTGATTCAGAACTGGTTTTACCAGAAGGCAGGCCACAGGCAGTTCTTACATCAGGTGTTGCTCAAACTCCTGGGACTGACCAGTTGGCAGGTTTTCAGTATTTCTTACCAAAATAAACACAGAGTAAAACATGGCTATGTAATAGATCTGTCCATGGTATGAAGACATTCTATTATGTGTGTGACTTTCAGATGGGTCATAACGAATTTTAAAATCCACAGCCTTGTATAAGTCTGAGTGCTTTTCAATGAAAAGCACTCATGAAAAAACAGTATAAACATAGTTGCAATTACAATCCTTAGATCTACTGTAATTTCCAAAATCAAGGCCCCAAGGAAGCTCAGAGAAAGCCGGTCAGTACAGTCAGTACTTATTTGGGGCAGGTGTTCAAAAATATAACAAGTCCGAAAAGTGTTCTTTTGGGGATTGGGAACTCACAGATCTAGTTCCAGCAAGAATGATGTGGCAGTTATGTGTAATGGAATTCTTTTGTCCTGTTTCAAGGTTTTTTGAAACTCTCTTTGGACTTAATATGTTCCTGCTCTGGGCATTTTTTCTGGGATTCTGACGAATAAAATCTCCTCTAAATATTTTTTCCCCAAATTAGCTGCAAATGTAGGAAACCCCCTCTTTGGCTGATGGTGACATAACCCTGAGAAAGAGCTGTTCAGCCTGGGATAGGCCCAAAGCAAAGGTCATGAAGAGATGAAGAGACTCCTCTGAGGGAGTCTTTTCCGTCTTCCCCACTCACTCCTCCTCCTTCCTTCCATCTGTGCTCCCTGAGGCTTCTCTCCACATTGGTGGGCATCAATTTCAGGTTCACAAAAGAATGGGTAGCACAGCAGCCTTTCAGTGGGAGATGTTTCTGATTAAAAACCTAATCACCAGCCGGGCGCAGTGGCTCACACCTGTAATCCCAGCACTTTGGGAGGCCGAGGCGGGTGGATCACGAGGTCAGGAGATCGAGACCATCCTGGCTAACACGGTGAAACCCCGTCTCTACTAAAAATACAAAAAATTAGCCGGGCGCGGTGGCGGGCGCCTGTAGTCCCAGCTACTCAGGAGGCTGAGGAAGGAGAATGGCGTGAACCCAGGGGGCGGAGCTTGCAGTGCGCCGAGATCGCGCCACTGCACTCCAGCCTGGGTGACAGAGCGAGACTCCGTCTCACAAAAAAAAAAAAAAAAAAAAAAAAAAAAGCTAATCACCTGCTCTAAAGCCTGTGATGAGGAAGGTCAGGATGAAGCAGAAAAGGGAGGTGACCTAATGGCTCTGCTAAGAGGAGCACCTCACAGAGCAGGGGCACAAGGGCCCCCGAGGGAAGTCCCCGGGGGTAGTGAGGAGTGACCACTGGGGGTGATAATAAAGATGCTTCCTCCTTGCAACCCTGCCATTGCAGAACCAGGCATGCAAACCCCCAACTCAGGGCACCAAACCTAGGACCTGGGCTCACCTGTGCATCAGCTCACATTGCCCATTAGAGTTCAAGTGCCTTGAGGGCAGAGACTGCGTTTTCCTAGCCTGATGTCTCATCCCTCACCCCCACGGACCTTCATATGATGTCACGGAATTTCTCTGAACCATGCACCTGACAGATACCAGTGCCCAAAAGAAGTCTCAGGCTGAGCTGTTGAGCCAGTCCAGGAAAACCACTCACTCCTCAGGGTTTCACTGTCTGCACAGGCAAGACAGGAAAAGATGCTGAATAATAAGCCAGTAGCCACTTGACCAGGTGAGTGGTATCTGGTACCAGCACTGGAAACTGGAGAGTAGAACGCATTTTGCTTCTTAAAAAGAAGTCTCCAGTTTATTTTTATTGTAAATAATCTGTGGACAAGGAAGTCCGAAATCTCTTTGTATCTCACCTTTAATGCCTAGAATAGAGCTCAAACTTCAGGAACTGAATTCATTTCATTATTACTTATAGACTACAAAGAGGAGTACCTTGTACAATTTCGGTGCTGATAGATTTGCAAGGTTTGCGTACAGAGGCAAGGTTTGCGTACAGAGGCAAGGTTTGCGTACAGAGTTATAAATGGGCAGGCAAAACTCTAGAGTATTATACATAAAACATTTAACACAGGCCCTAAAACAAACAGCTATCTGGCAATGGAACTCTGGTCTGTGGACTTACCTTGCACTTCGATGTAGATGGGATCAGACACGATCTCTTCATTGTTTATTTTCATCTTACAGATATACGACCCATTGTCTGAACGCTGCACACTGGTTATGCTGCAAAGAAAAACACATAAAGATATTTACGGTGACTACCCTTTGACTCCTTATTATAGGACTGGAAACTTCTTCAACTTCTTTGTCATATGCTGTGAGAATTAATTTTATATGTCAGCTTGGAAAAGGCCATTGCACTCAGTTGTTTGGTCAAATCTTAGCCTCGATGTTGCTGTGAAGGTACTTTTCACATGTCACTGATATTTAAAGCAGCAGCCTTTGAATAAAGCACATTACTCTTCATGATGGGGGTAGGCCCCATCCAAACAGTTGAAGGCCTTATAAGAAAAAGACAGAGGTCCCCAGTGAAAGAGAGGATTCTGTTTCCAAACTGCCTTAGGACTCAAGACTGCAACATCAAGTCTTTCATGGGTCTCCAGCCAACACCCTGCTGATTCCATATTTGTCAGCTTCCACTGTGTGTGAGCTAATTCCTTAAAATAAATCTCTTTCTCTCTCTTTCTAGATAAAGCTGTAGATGCAGATCCTATAGGTTCGGTTTCCTGGAAAAACCCTGACTAATATGTGTGCTATCACCTGTCTTGATTTTTTTTTTGAGACAGACTCTGTCTCGCTTTGTTGCCCAGGCTAGAGTGCAATGGCATGATCTCAGCTCACTGCAACGTCTGCCTCCTGGGTTCAAGTGATTGTCCTGCCTCAGCCTCCTGAGTAGCTGGGATTACAGGCTTGCGCCACCATGCCCGGTTAATTTTTGCATTTTTGGTAGAGACAGGGATTTGCCATATTGGCCAGGCTGGCCTCAAACTTCCAACCTCAGGTGATCCACCCACCTTGGCCTCCCAAAGTGCTAGGATTATAGGCATGAGCCACCACACCTGGCCACCTGTCTTGATTTCTGTGGTAGACTCTGCACCAGTGGTTCTCTGGTGTACTTTTGGGGTACTGCGCCCTCAAGGCATTTTGGAAATGCGTGGAGTTGTTTTTGGTGATCACAATGACTAGAGGGGCACCATGGGTTTTTAGGGGCCAAGGGCAACTGTTCCATATCCCAAATGACCTCCTGAGACTAGAACCTAACTCCATTTTATATACACACAAAGTCCTGTGTGGTTTCAATACGCACCTAATTTAACAGGACTGCAATGATCATAAAAATGGAGAGCTGGTAGCCTTTGTCCTATTTAGAACTTTCTGGGGCCCCAGCCATCATTTTGTAAAGTCCCTCACTGACAGCATGACTGTATTTGCAGCGGTCACAGGTCATATGCTTGAAGGTGCAGGTGCAAGTCCCTGGGTACTTAATGATCTCTCCTGGGGTGAACATGCCCAGTGTTTACATATTAAAATCCACATTTTTATTTTATATTATTTTATTTTATTTTATTTTATTTGAGATGGGGTCTCACTCTGTCACCCAAGCTGAAGTGCAGCTGCACCATCATGGCTCACTGCAGCCTTGAACTCCTGGGCTCAAGCCATCTTCCCAGCTCAGCCTCCCAAAGTGCTGGGATTACAGCCATGAGCCACCCTTCTCAGCCCGGGAACATTTTTAAATACTTTCAGATGCTCTCCAGAGGATTTGTGTATTGGCTCAAAGGCACTGCTCTTTAAACACAGCAAAGAAGACCCTGACCAGGGAAAGGAAGAAAAAGAAGAAATACATAGAAGGTCCACCTTCCTTCCTAGAAGCTTGCCTCCCTGTATAACCTATTTATCGCTAAGCAAAATAAATCTCATCCCTCAATCTGTGAAGGGCTGAGGCTTAAGGCTTGAAGGAGACCAGGAAGCTGCCGGGTGCGGTGGCTCAAGCCTGTAATCCCAGCACTTTGGGAGGCTGAGACGGGCGGATCACAAGGTCAGGAGATCGAGACCATCCTGGCTGACACGGTGAAACCCCGTCTCTACTAAAAAAAATACAAAAAACTAGCCGGGCGAGGTGGCGGGCGCCTGTGGTCCCAGCTACTCCGGAGGCTGAGGCAGGAGAATGGCGTAAACCCGGGAGGCGGAGCTTGCAGTGAGCTGAGATCCGGCCACTGCACTCCAGCCTGGGCGACAGAGCGAGACTCCGTCTCAAAAAAAAAAAAAAAAAAAAAAAAAGAGACCAGGAAGCTATCAAGGGTAGAGGGGGCTCTATCCTGACCCATGGCCCCATAGGCAGGGGTGGCAGCTGCCAGGGGATAGCACGGCCTGGTCAGCATCTGGAGCAGACATGTGGTAGTGAGTGAGGTCTCCAGGTCTGAATGAGACACAGTTTCCCCAGGTTGAATTCAGTTTTCTGAACACTAAACATTTTAAATTTACTTCTTCCCAACAATACCATGTTGCAGATCCTCATTAGCCTGTGATAAATAGAGCAGCTAAGACACAGCTCAACAATGGCATCAGTCAGAACTCGGGGGATCAGAGGGGGTTCAGAGCTACTCAGGTTAACATTACTTCCTTATTGTTCCCAGGATCCAGGAGTTAACAGTCCCCTGCCATTGCATTTCCTAATGTGTAAATGTGAGTGGCATCCCTTTGACTTGAAATACTCTGTCTTCCTCTTTCCCCTCGTTCCACAGGAGCAATATAATTTTGGAATGCACCTGATGAATGAATGGTGGGCATGAGGGAGGTCCCAGGGACCAAGGAAAGGCCAGATCCTTTCATGTTTTGGGGCAGTGGCTGGATGTCACAACGCCTAGAGGTTCCCAGGAGAAGATGAAAAGAGAATACACGGGACAAATATCTCCAAATAAGGAGCTAGCTGATCCTCTCCTGGTAGACCCCTGGATGTCACGGTGACAGGAAGGGTTGAAGAAAGATGGGGGAGAATTCTGTGCCTAGCATGATGCCCTGCCCATCGTGGGCAATGACTAGTGGTTGAGTGGTGACCCTGGCTTTCAGCAGTCCCTGAAGATCCTGCACAACAGATGGGCCTAGTCTTTGGAGTTCTAAGGGAAACGAAGGCTACTGAAGAGGGGTGCTCCTACATATTTCACAAATCCACTCTAGAAGAGGCATCATTTTCTTGAGGCAAGACCCAGGGGCTCAACAGAGTGAACCATGAGATCGGACAGACTGAGGACACTTGTGCCTTTGAAGACTGGCTCTACCTCAAGGTCTAGGACCCGGGAGTGGCAGCAGGCTTGCAGTTGGACTCAGGGAGACAGGGACCAGAGAGAAAGTGAAGGCCAGGAGGGAGGTGGGGCACAGCCCCAGGAAGGCAGCCTGAGGGGACTGCACCCAGACCAGAGGTGCGAAGCACACCTGGGCAGAGCCCCCAGAAGCTGAGAAACTACAAGGCACAAAGGATGGTTTGGCGACACACCCTAGACTGTAGAAATCAGACTGCATAAGATGCCCAGGAGAACCTTAAGCCAACCAGCAAGGAGGATACAGACCAGAAATAGAAAAGAAGCATGCAGAACACAAAGGGAACTCAATCAGAATTTTGTCTTTAGTCATTCATGGCAGGAAAGGCTTAGCAGTTGTCTGGTAACAATAGGCGCCTGCATTAATTAGCAAGGCCAGACCCATGCCACCAATATTACAGCAAAGATTTTCCATAAATTATACTTGTCGCTTTCTAGACATCCAAGCGAAAGGCTCCCACTGGGAGGGTGGGGTGTGGGGTGGGGCTGGAGACAGGAGGAGTGGCTGTTCCTGGCTCTCCTCCCTCTCCCCAGAAAAACAGGAGGCTCAGTCTCCATGGAGGCTCAACCGGAAAGGCTCTGGGCTCAGAGCAGCAATCTAGGCATCCCAACAACCATGTAAGAGGAGCTCCAGAGGGAACACGAAGAGTGGATGCGGAAGGGGAGAAGTTCAAGAAAGTGCCCCAGCACTGAAGATATGGATCTTTCCTCACCGGGCCCCCAGCTGGGCAGCACAGTAGGAGAAAAAAAATCCCCCCAAGGGGCTTCATCAGGGAACGCTACAACTCTAAGATGAGGTGAAGATCCTAAAAGCTTCCAGAGAGAAAAAAAGCAGATCACTCATGAATGAATCAGAATAGCATCCTGCTTCTCCAGAGCAACCCAGAACTCAAAGGGAAATATATCAATGACTTCCAAGTTAAAACAAAAAATATTTTCTTTTCAAACTCTGTACCCAGCCAAACTACCTCAAGGTGAAGGTAAAGAGAATGGCATTTTCAGGCCTGCAAGTCCCAGGAAGTTAGTGAAGGATGGGCTCCTTGACAAAGTAAAAGAGTAAAAGCCAAAGAGTGCAAGAAGCGGGGAGCATGTTCCGATGCAAGCTGACGGCTCTCGATTCCCACAACCCGGCCAGCTTCAACTGCAAAGATGAAACGGAATTTAGAAACTTCATTGTTTGGTTTGAAGACCAGAAAATCAGACACTACAAGATTGAAGACAGAGGTAACTTAAGAAACATCCACAGCAGTGACTGGCCCAAGTTCTTTGAAACGTATCTCAGAGATGTTAACTGTTCTTTCAAGATTCAAGATCAACAAGAAGCTGTTGACTGGCTTCTCGGTTTAGATGTTAGACTTGAATATGGAGATAATGCTGAAAAATACAAGGACTTAGTACCTGATAATGCAAAAACTGCTGACAATGCAACTAAAAATGCAGAACCATCGATACATTTGGATGTAAATAATCCTGATTTTAAGCCTGATGTGATGGCTTTGGCTAACCTGCTTCAGGTTCAGTGTCATGATGATTACTTGGTAATGCTTAAGGCGATTCAAATTTTGGTTCAGGAGCACCTGATACAGGAGGCAGTTGCTAAAGCAAATCAAACAAAAGAGGGCTTGCCTGTTGCTTTAGACAAACATATTCTTGGTTTTGACACAGGAGATGCAGTTCTTAATGAAGCTACTCAAATTCTGTGATTGCTGCATAGAGAAGAGCTCAGAGAGCTACAAACAAAAAATAATGAAGCCATAGTAGCTGTTCAGGCAATTATTGCTGACGCAAGGACAGACCACAGACTGGGAAACGTTGGAAGACAAACACTTTAGGACTTCAGCTTCTCACCTATTTAGTACAAGTGGGAACGACGTACACTTCTGGCACGTTTGGAAATCAGTATAT